TTCCAAGCTCCTTGGAGGATGGGCAGGATAAAAAAGTGCCAAATAAATAAATGCTTGTTGAATTGTAAAGCCACTGTATTCCTCTGTCAAGGCCTTTATTAATATGGTCATAGACCAGCACAAGTCTTAGCAAAATTCCCAACCACCACAGTGAGTAAGAGAAAACTTAAAATTAGCTCCCACACCTAGTTAGCTTATAATTCAAAGGGAAGTACATGTTAAATAAAATGATAGATAAAATTATTAAACTTCTGCAATATGTATGTACTAGGAATAAGGCTCGTTGTGGAAATAAATACAGCCAGCTCTAGAAAGAGGCTCTGGGTGGGTGCCCTGGCCTTGGGCACTCAGTGTCAATTTGCTGTGGCGACCTCAGCAGGGTATGTACATCCCGCAGGGTTTTGGCGTTTCCAAGTCAGTGTGCAAAGAGGAGGGCAGCCCTCCAACCCCCACAGCAAGATCCCAGGCAGGTTTACCCGGGAGTAAGTCCAAAGTGAGATTCAATCTCTCTGCAACCTAATCACCCAAGCCCAAGCAGGCTTGCTTGGAAGTAAGTGCCACTTTCAGCCCCAACAATAGAGAAGATCTATTCCCAAAATCATTGAGCAAACATTATAACTCGAGCCTAGGCCCCTTTTCTCAGGAGTAAACGTTTCTCTTTTCAATCGGGAAATGGAAAAGTACCAGGGTTTAAGGATGAACTATCCTCCCTGAAAAAAATTAAGTCATGCCCGCTTGGAAGCCCACCCCTGCTATTTGGCAGTGGCTTAAAATGCTTGCTCTGTAGAGACACATAATGGCTGCCCTGGAGCAAAACATTTGCTCCCCAAGCAAAAAATATCTGCCTACGGCCCTGCTGCCTACTAAGCAAGGGAAGGATAAACTTAGAACAAACCTCTTAATATAAGGGCAACGAAGCAGACCGTGTTCCATAGTTTCTATCTCCCATGAACCACAGGGACATAGCCTGGCTGCCTTTGGAACCTTATTTATATCGCCCATTCAAAATCTCAGAAGGGAGTGCTTGAGGTCTAGCAAGGGAAAATGCCTTCCTGTGACTGAAAATCTCCCATTGGGAGAGGTGAGTGGCCGAGGAAACTAGAGCTTCCCATAGACAGGAAAGTCGGTGTCGTAATCTGCCTACCGCTCAGTATCCATCACCCTTTGCTTTAAAACTTGTTTTGCCTGCTCATACCCCATTTCCAAAACAGAGTGTAATGTATTCAGCCTGATATGCCCAGACTTGCCCGGGCTGGCCAGGCTCAAACCTTCATAGCTTCATGTCGCAAGACAAAGGACCACTAGGATCCTAGCCAGGCCCAATGACAGGGCTAGGTCCTAGCCGGAAGGCCAATAGGTCTCTCGGTTACTGTAAATAGCCTATCGGGAGTGGGGTGTGTGTTTAGGTGAGTTGGTGGCGGGTTTTCTGAATGAATATAAGCTGGCCTGCGAGCCGGCCAGTTGTCTTTGTTCTCAAACAAATAAAGGTATGCTTAGCTGAAATCACTCTCCATCTGCATACTTTTCACAGAGCAAGGGGAAAAGTTGTATTCCTCTGTTTATCACTGCACCATATTAAAAAAAAGATAAATATATTAACATGCCACACAAAATATACTTAATCAAACACACCTTTAAACATATTAGTTCCTTTTGCAGCCTGGCACAGGCCCCCTCCCCTCGAGTGATCCTACCCCCCCCCACATGCATTTGCAGCTCGCCCCCTTGGCCCGCCCGCTGTTGCTCCGCTGCCCGCCCTGCCCGGGGGGGCGCCAGAATGTATCCTCGCCTAGTGGGTGAAAAAACCTGGGGCCGTCACTGGTTTAGTCCATGCCTTTGGCTTTGCAGCCTTCCCCGTCCCATGCCTTGAATTATGGAGGAAGCCTGGCAGACACTGGGGTGGGATGGGGTGGGCAGTGTTCTGCCAGGCCGTGATAGAAAAGGGTTATTTTAAAGCTCCTAATTTGGGCAGTGAAGTCAAGCAAAGTAGTTGAGGCAAGTCCTGCCCCTGGGTACCTTTTGCTCCCCCCCTCCCGCTTTCTGTTCAATGCACATTGTTTCATGTGGACTTGTCCGGCGGCTGCTACTGCAGTTTTTGTAGGAGGCTGAAGTTGGTTCCTTTTCCCAGTTCCTTATTCACATCTATTGGTCCCCACTAGGATCCGAGTCGGATATTGTTCTGAATCCTGAAGGTGCGCTAGACTGCATGGCTTCCTTAGCGCTACGTGTCCAGACATATCCATATCAATACGTAACAACCTCCATGGTCAGCGGACTCCCCCCTTCGAGGGAACATATGTTGTGTTCTGGTCCAAAGTGCAGTTCTTGTGCCAGCTGCTCCAAAGTGCAGTGCCCCCAGGACAATCACACAGGCAGACACTGGGACCTGTCTGCACCCCAAAACAATCTTTGGACCACCCCAAATGACACATCACCATGCTCTGGAGACTGTCCTCTGCAAGATGACATGCAGTGGTGCCCGGTCCAAACACTGGTTCCAGAGTCACAGGCTTCTATTTTGGTTGCCCACAAGAAGCGTGTATTTCAAAAAAGATTTGAATAAGGAACTGGTATGACTGTTTGCCCATTGTACCCCAGAATAAGGTTTGGATCACCACGGGTGCATTCAGACGCGCCGTTTCAGCCGGCATAAACTGTACCGGTTGGACCCGGTGCAGTTTATGCCGGCTGAAACACGATCACACTTACCTCCTGTCTGCGGAGCCCATCGTTGTATGCCCGTCCACACGCAGCGGGCATTGGCGGTTTATTTTTTTAAAAACTCAGTTTGCGCATGCGCATAGGCAGCCATCCACAGAATGGCAATCTTTGCGCATGTGCAAAAAACCCCGTCTTACATTTAAACTTTAAAGGTAAGGACTTACCTTTAAAGTTTAAAGAGCAAAGTAGCCTCCCTGAGGTCCCGGACGCCTCCGAAATGCTAAACTAAGTCCCTTTTCTTTTTTTAAAAAACAAACGCCAAGGCGAAGCTTCGCCCAAGCGCATATCGCCAACCTTTAAAAAAAAAATGGCGGGCGAAAATCGGAAGTCTCAGGCTTCCGAACGGAAGTTGTTTCTCAACAGTGGAGAGCGATCAGACGGCGGGTACAGCGATTACAACCGTTGTACTCAGGATACCACTACTTGGGGACCTAGTGGCAGAGTACAATGGTTTAAAGGGCTTTGCAACGGTTAGGGACGGAAGGCAGATGTTCTACACGTGAACGCCGGTAAGTACACCGATTGCAACCGGCACCTATACCGTTGCAAACGCCGCGTCTGAACGCACCCCACATGTCATACACCTCCATGTTCAGTAAACTGTCCCCTTCAAGAAGGCATATGCCCCTGGTCCAAAGGGTGATTCTTGTGCCAGCTGCTCCAAAGTGAGGGACAAGGCAATTGCACAAGGCAACCTCCCTTTGTCAAAACAGCTCTCTCTCTTTGCAAAGCATGTTATCCCAGGGCCTGCAGACACCATGTGGGTGTAAAGCAAGCAGTGTGAGTGAGGAATGCCCAGGCCTTTGCTAGAGTGTGGGGGGGGGGCTGATTTCTAAGCAGGCTTCCTTGTGAGTACATCCCGCAGGGTTTTGGCAGTGCTTCCAAGTCAGTGTGCAAAGAGGAGGGCAGCCCTCCAACCCCCACAGCAAGATCCCAGGCAGGTTTACCCGGGAGTAAGTCCAAAGTGAGATTCAATCTCTCTGCAACCTGATCACCCAAGCCCAGGCAGGCTTGCTCGGCAGTAAGTGCCACTTTCAGCCCCAACAATAGAGAAGATCTATTCCCAAAATCATTGAGCAAACATTATAACTCGAGCCCAGGCCTCTTTTCTCAGGAGTAAAGGTTGCTCTTTTCAATCGGGAAACGGAAAGGTACCAGGGTTTAAGGATGAAGTATCCTCCCTGAAAAAAATAAAGTCATGCCCGCTTGGAAGCCCACCCCTGCTATCTGGCAGTGGCTTAAAATGCTTGCTCTGTAGAGACACATAATGGCTGCCCTGGAGCAAAACATTTGCTCCCCAAGCAAAAAATATCTGCCTAAGGCCCTGCTGACTACTAAGCAAGGGAAGGATAAACTTAGAACAAACCTCTTAATATAAGGGCAACGAAGCAGACCGTGTTCCATAGTTTCTATCTCCCATGAACCACAGGGACATAGCCTGTCTGCCTTTGGAACCTTATTTATATCGCCCATTCAAAATCTCAGAAGGGAGTGCTTGAGGTCTAGCAAGGGAAAATGCCTTCCTGTGACTGAAAATCTCCCATTGGGAGAGGTGAGTGGCCGAGGAAACTAGAGCTTCCCATAGACAGGAAAGTCGGTGTCGTAATCTGCCTACCGCTCAGTATCCATCACCCTTCGCTTTAAAACTTGTTTTGCCTGCTCATACCCCATTTCCAAAACAGAGCGAGGGGAAAAGTTGTATTCCTCTGTTTATCATTGCATCATATAAAAAAAGATAAATATATTAACACGCCACACAAAATATACTTACTCAACCACACCTTTAAACATATTTAAGTCATCATTACACAGCCGAGGGAAGTGCTATGAATGTGTGCGTGGAGTTTTCTAAACAGAGGGGCCAACTTGGGCACAAGCCTGGTTTGGACGCGCAACCCCCCCCCCCCCCCCGCGGTTTTTTATTGGGGTTTTTGAACTCAAAGGGACACAGTCTCGGAGTCGTGACTGATCCTGTACGGGTGTTTATCGTCCGAATTCAGACTTACTCCAAAGTAAGGATTGTTGTAGCACAGTTTGAGCCTACGTACATCCACTCGCACGTCAGCTCAACAAAGCTGCCATTCTACACAGTAACCGGGATCGGGTTCTTTTGGGGGCTGAACGTGATGAGATCGCGTATCAGAAACGCGCATAAGCAATACGCAGAGGGGTGGTCTGAACTTGGGCTAGTTTCCGTCGCTGAAGCGGAGTCTAATCTCGGGAGCACAAGGAGTGAGTCCGCTTCCCTCTGTATCTCCATCCGGGTGGAAGGAAGGAGAGAGTCCTTCTCTTTTACCAGCGGCGCGAGCCTTCTCCCCGTCTGAGGCTCGATTGGGAGCATGGGGCCGTCTCTTTCCCAGGCGAGCAGCAGTGATGCCGTTCAGGGGCCCCCCAATGCAGAGACGCCTCAGCCTTGGGGGAACCCTAAAGCTGCCACAGCCCTGGAGGAAGCGCAGCAGCAGCAGCAACAGCTCTTCTTTATTAAAGGTTCCGAGTCCCATCCTCTCTTTGAGGGAAGGGGCAGGGGAATTCCTAAAAACATGAGAGGTTTGGGGGACTCCTGGGCTACGGATGCTTCGCCCACCCGCCCCTCACTTTCAGCTTCAGTGTGCGTGCGTATAGTGCTGCTGGCTGCAGCTACTGAGTGGTGGGGTAATAGCGCTTTGTGCTGGTGGGGTGCTCTTCTTTACTGTTGGCTCACGCGTTTCTTGAGTTGAGCCCCCACATTAACTTTTTTTTAATCAAGACCCGAGAAGGCGTATTGGCTACTTTCGATGGGGAGTCGGAGCCGTTTGCAGGGAAACCCCCCCCCCCCATCATAATGGCCGAAAGAGCCAATGCACTCTGCAAACGTCTTCCAGTGGCCAGAAGGGAGCGCTTGTGTTGTTGGGGTTGAGATGAAAAGGGTTTTTTTTAAAAAAGAAGGATATGCATGGAGGAAGTGAAGATGTGAGTTCTAAGTCTTGAAGTTAGCAGTTTCAGTTTTTTTCACTGCTGTACTTAGGATACATTTAGACCCTGTACTCAAAAATCTGTATAGTGTATAGGTGGGTTCCTGGGTCTTAATCCACCAGTAACTCATTCATATCAAAGTGAGAAAGTCCCATTTAGTCACGCTGCCAGATTCCAGAAAATGGAATCAGGCAGAACGTTTGCACCGGAAAAATAAATTGAAGAGGGGTAAGCCACTCGCTTTGGTGGGTTAGAGCACACTTTGTCAGATGCACAAGAGTAGTTCCTTGCTAGGTTGACTTTTATATATATTCCATAAAGTTATGAAGAAAAAATGTAGCAGGCTCAAACAGCCATGAAATGCAGGAAATATGGGGGAGGGGGATATTATATAACATTCAAATTTAGTCAAGTATGTACAGAGACCATTTATAATAGGGAGACTTCCTGTTACTCCTAGTTTTGCTAACACCTGTAATAGTTAAAGGTTTTGTGATGAAACTTCAACCTAAACTAAGCAAGATGCTGGAAATATAAGCTTAACATATAAGGGAAATTCTCTGATAAAATGACACTAAAAAAATTAGCACACATAAGTAATCTTGGTGTACATGTGTCTGGGCAATACGTATACAACTGCACCAATTGGCCAGCACATGTGTACAATGCATGCGTGATTGTAGTTTGGGAGGGTAACATTTTCTTTCTGCAATGTGTTTCTGCTTTTGTCTTGTGTACGTAGCAGTCCTAATGGCAGCTTCTCACAGTGTAAACGGATGCGCAGGAAGTGCCCCTAGAGAAGCTTGACATATTTGCTTCAGGGACATTCCAGTACTTGAAGCAGGTGGTCTGACTGTGCTTATCTGAAGTGGTCCTGTCAGGTGTGTGAGCCAGTGGGAGGTCAGCAAATACAGTGATAGCCTGCCTGTGTTTACTGTGGAGAATTAGATGCACTCAAAAGGTCTGGTTGTCTACATCGGAGCTGTGTGGATATGCCTTAAGGATTTAGAAGAGTGGGTGTTTCAGGCACAAGAGGGACGAAGCCAGAGACCCAGCTGCTGGATGTGACACAGCCTCTTCAAATACCAGTGCATGTTCAAATGACAGTTTGGCATAATTAATGCTGTGAAAAGCAGGATTACCGTTCTCGTCAGAAGAGGGAACTGACAGTGTGTGGCAACTCTGCAGAAGCACATGAAAGTGCCAGGTTGCCTTGACAACTCTGAGGTGCTACAGGATCAGCCTTCTCCTGAGCTCTACCTCTGTGTGCTTGTAATTTGCACCCTGGGCACGCTTTGGATCATTCTGTAAATTGGACTAGATGGCTGTCCAGAGATTTTGGGTTCCACTGGGGATCTTTAGGAACATATTTTGGCAGATTGATAGTTTCCACTTTTCTCTTGGGAGCTACTGACAATTCTTAATTTCGAATGGGTTTTAAAAGCATTTTATTCCTTACCATAGGGGGGAGAATTCTCATTTTTTTTTCATTTTCTCCCCCCGCTTGCTGTCTTGGTAGGTGGAGTTTTTCTTGCTACTGTTGCTACTGCGGGAATTCTAGCTGGTTTTGGGACCACACTTGCCATGGCCAAAAAGAAAAGCCCCAACTGGTTCAATAAGGTTTGTATTTTTAACTTGTTTGCAACGATCATTAAAATTTAGCTTCATAATGGTTTTGTTGCCTGGTTCCTGGTAAGGGAACATTTCTTGGGAAATGAAGAAATTGTTTTTTCTTTTATAGAAGATATCATGTCCATGTGCAAAATACAGTTGAGGCAAGGGTTGATTAAAATAATTTTATATAGAATTTTTTTTAAAACTAGATTTTAGAATATATCTTATTTTTAATTTTCAGTTATAACAAACTGCCTGTTCTTATAAATAACCTGGCTTAAAATTCAATCTGGATTCATTTAAACATGCTAAAATCTGTATTTTATAAACTCTGAAAACTGAATGGTGACCATATGTCAGACAGGTCGAGTTAAAGGCTATTGCTTTTAATGTGACAAAGAGCCATGGGAGGAAATACCAGACTTCTGAGGGTAAGAATTATAAATGATGCAACATGTCACGTATTGCTTTGATTACAGCTGGCAAGTCCACACACACTCTAGACTCCAGGAGATCCTGTTCTATATATCATCAGAATCATCTATAAAGCCATATTGTGATCTTGTAGTCCTATTTTGTGCCCTCCAATTACCCGAGTTCTGCAGAGGGTTGGCAGGTTTGCAACTCAGAGAACTGATTTTATCTTTGATTCTTCCACTTCATCAGGAGATGTGGCCGGTGAGTTGGGGTGGTAGGTGGCACTCAGCTGCAGTGAGAGGGCCTCACACTCTTGCCAGCTGATATTGTAAGGTGATGGGGGCAGATGTGCAGCTGCTGAATGGCTGTAATGCCCAGTGTAGGCACAGGCTTATGATATCGTTGTGAGGATCCTTTTTCCTTTGATCTTTGTTCAGCAGCATATCACTTCCCACTCTACTGGCCAGGTCTGCAGCTTCAGAAGAATTAAAAGTAATTCTATGGGATGCTGCCTCTGCAATATCTTTGCAGGGTGTTTAGGTCTGAAATTATTATTACTAATGGCTCTACAGTCAAGCAGCATGGACTTTATATTAGATCTAATTGAGAAACACTAGTAACTTCCAGCCTTTGCTCAAGGGGAATTTTCAAAAATCACAACCTAAGCAGTTCGAAAGCAAGAAATTGCAAGTAGATAAATAGGTACCGCTTTAGTGGGAAGGTAACAGCATTCTGTGTGCCTTGGCATTTAGTTATGCTGGCCACAAGACCATGGAGAAGTCTTCGGACAGCGCTGGATCTTTGATTTGGAAACGGAGATGAGCACCGCCCCCTAGAGTTGGATTTGACTGGCTTTCGAGCAAGGGAAGCCTTTACCTTTACTTTATCATCATATATGTTTACTTGGAAGTAAGCCTCACTTGTTTCAATGGGTCTTACTTCCAAACAAGCACACTTAGGATGGTAGACTTAGCATTCATGGTCAATATTGTTTTATTTACACAGACAGCACCAAACAGAAATCTGATTTGTCTCTAAGCAGCTACACATATTGCACATATATACTGTGCCCTACACATTAAGTATATAGGCAGCTAGAAATGCTGCTTGATTGAATAATCTAGTGGGTTTTAAATGGAAAAGCAGCTTGCTTATGCCACTAAAGGAACAGTTGCAAGTTCCTGACCGTGACCATCACAGGTTATTTTTGACTCGTAGGCGAGCATGGCCCACCACGGAATCATGTGACCTTGACCCATCATTTCATCCTACTGGCTCTGACTTCCCCTGCTCAGTAAACAACCTCTAATGAATTGGGGATGGTCCTCCAAACCTAAATTAAACAAAGCTTCATTCTGTAATGATGTGAAATATAGCTGAGCAATATAATCATGGGACTGCTATGACTTGGTGGACCAGGGATGAGCATAATGTTCTCTCTTTTTAGTTATTGAGGTACAAGAATGGGCAGCACAGATTTATAGCATCATAGATTGTTAATAAAGACATACATTTACTTTTCTTCATACCACTCCTTCAGGCTGCCACCTCTAAATTTAAAAAAGCCTGAAAGTATGAAACATTGCAAGTAACAGAGGATCATCTATTTCCCTGGGTCAGTCTGTTAAGGTTTTAATTGTACTGAAATGCACAAAATGCCCCGAGAGATGAAACTTTAGCATTAAGGGCAGCAAGCAATAAACATGTGACTAAAATATATTTTCTTAAAATAGTAGCTTATAGTTGCTTTTTGTCTTTTATCAATGAAATCCTTTCTTCTATGCCAAAGCAGTGGGAAAACTCCAAAGTGTTTTTTCCTAGCAATTTGTTCTTCACTTGTTTTGAGGTTCTAAATAGCTTTTGTGCACATCATATGACAAAAAATTTCTGTAAACAAGATAACTCTTTGAGGAGGAATGGATTCAGATTAGTTATCTCATGTACACACACTCTTGAAAGAATTGCTGATAAACCCAGGACATTATTCTTCCATTATTACTTTTTAAAATGCAACTGAGCACCTAAGCATCAGTGATGTATCTCATTGGGAAATTCAGTGTAAATAGTATATAATAATGCCAAGCTTCATTTTATATGCTCTGTTTGGATGCTCTAGCATAAGAAATTCCACATTGTAATGTGCCATAGATATTTGGAAAGCTGGTGATACAAATATTCATGAGATATTTCACATATGACTAAATTTATAGAGGCTGAAGTATAATGTGAGCATTATAGTGACAGCAATCTAGTGAGATGGTATATGTAGGTATGTAAGCAATATTGTATAGCTCTCCTTGTCTGCTTTCTTGTCTGCTTTCTCAGTCATTCAATCTGGCTGAACTGCTAGACTATGACAGTTGAGATGGTTTATGAAGTAGTTTAGGGTCTAATGGAGGTTAGCAGCTAAAAAGAAAACTAACAAGAAAGTATGTTCATGGCTTTTGTGTGTGCAACTGTGGTACCCCATAAACGTTTAATGTTAATTTACCAAAATCTGAACGTGTGTCTCCATTTTGCCGATCTAGTTTAATAGTATAGATTTTTATATTGATGTAAATGTTTAGTTATGCCTGCTACCCCAAGGAATTCTAGGTATTGTAGGTTTATGAGTAATTATTTATGAGTAATTATTATATTTATATTCTGCCTTTCTTTCTCAGAAGGAAAAAAACACATTAAAAAAGTTAAAATACAAATGGGTAAAAACTGACAAATGAAAAGAGAACTTGGTTTGGGTCCTGCAGAGTGGCAAGCTGCAGATAGAAGGGGTAGGTCAGGCAAGCTGATGAAAGTTCCCAGGAACCCACTTCCCTCTCCTTCATTTACAACACTAACAGTGCTAGAATAATCAGGATGTCTTAGTAGGAAATTAGATGAGATAAACCAGTTTAAATGTGCATATGCCCTAGGCTTAGCATACATATGTTCACAGATCTGTAAAAGTTTGTTCTTGGGGGGAAATGAAGCAAGTTTATCTGAGAGCAGTTTGAATATTCTTGCAGTGCTATCATAAGCAGATTTGCAGTCTCAGAAAGGTGTAACTCATCTTAAGATGGCACTTTGTGTGAATTTACACAAAGGAATTTCCCCCCACCATTTGCTTGTTTGTTTGTTTTTAAAACTATTCTAGGGTGTAGCTGCTACAGCTGCTTTACCAGAGAGTGGTGCGTCACTTGCCTTACGAGCCCTAGGATGGGGTTCGCTGTATGCCTGGTGTGGAGTGGGACTGATCAGTTTTGTTGCCTGGAAGGCTCTGGGCGTTCACAGCGTGAGTATCTCTTTACCAACTGAGACTATGGAAACACGATTCTTCAGTGTGTTAGTGCTGACCTGCACTGGTAGTTATTCTCCTTCCTTCACAGACTTGTGTGCAGTCATATTTCATAACAATGTGAATATGTTTTTGTGTAATTCACTGTGGCTTTATCTAATATATTTCTATGCTGCTTTTTAAAAAAGGTTACAGTGGTTTCCAAATGTAAACTACATATACAATACATAATTAAAGTATCATCTAATGCTAAAAGGATTGCATCTAAACCCAACATTCAGCCAAAAGCTCTTCTAAAATGTTTTGCCATGCACTTCTTTCTAAAATGCAGAAGAGAAGAGATAGCCCTCATACCATTTGGCAACATGTTCCAAAGAGATGGAGCTTCCAATGGAAACATTTTGCCCAAGCTGTTTTCCCCTCTCTTAGGAAACCAAAAGCATGACTTGGCTCATATATAAAGAGGTGGTCCTTCAAGTAAGTAGGTCCCAGGCCATCGAAATGAATGAATAATTAGTATAGTTAAAGCAGCAAAGTGTGTGGATTTGCTTTGAGATTGTCATTCCTCCCTGCCTCAAGTTCTGTGACAATTTGGGGTGAAAATTGACTAAGCCTGACCTAAATTCAAGCTGAAGTCTTTGAAAACTTCCTAGCTGATGAGCTAGTTGCTGTGGTATCTCAGAAGCCTGCACCTCAAAGAAATGGAACACTCCCTTGGTGTTGTTTATACAGCATCATAGAATCACAGAACTTGAAAGGGTAATACAGGCCATCTAGTTCAGCCCCCTGCTCAATGCAGGATCAGCCTAGAGCACTCCTGACAAGTGTTTGTCCAGCTGCCGCTTGAAGGGTGCCAGTGAAGGGGGAGCTCACCACTGCTTTAGGCAGCTGATTCCATTGCTGAACTACTCTTACTGTAAACGTTTTTTCCTAATATCCAGCGGGTATCTTTCTGCCCATAATTAAAACCCATTATTGCGAGTATGTATGTACATGGTATGTCACGAAATAATATAGGCAAAAAAAGAAAAATCTCTGTCCCAAGGAGGTTGCAGTCTGCATTTTGGCCTTGCGGAAGGTGATAAAGACACGAGAGAGGCAAAAGTGACCATTGGAAAGGCTGAGGTATTGAGAAGTGAAGATAACAATGGATGAATGTGATCAAGTGCAGTTTATGTACAAGGGCTTTGTTTTGTAAAAAGAACTGTATGTTAAAAAGTGCTGGGTCAAGACCTCACAGCTGATTAAAAAGCAGTTAAGAGCCCTTTTTTCTCATTATGTGTAAAAAATTAGGGTACTAAATCAGGTGCAGGCCTAAGGTACAATAGGCAGAAAGCCAGTTCAGCATCACCATTTTCCATCCATGATCATAAAAAATGGTGATTGTGTGAATCAGCCTAAATCTCCTACAACCAGGGCTTGTGTTTGTAAATCTTAAAATATTGCACTGGAAGTAGAATGGCTAGTGCTGGGATTTAATTTATTTAGATTATTTTTTTAAAATTCTGACTAATACCCAATTAAAGCTGTGAGATTCCAGAATGGGAATCAGGCTTCCTTTTCTCTGCTGTATCAGGGTCCCAGCCATTCAGAGTGTGGCCTTCTCATGGTAGATAGGGCAGGCCATTGGAGACTTCATCTCAAAGTACTGGACAACACCAGACCTGTTTGGTCTGCCCTAGACTCGCCCTAGAAGCGCAAGCCATCGTCTTGGATTGTTTTTGCAGGTATTCTTTTCTTTCTTTAACAAACCAAAGCAGAATCTACTGCTCCATATGATATTATTCATCCTCATAACAAAGCCCAGTAAATCTAGTGTAAAAAAGAACTAGTGTTAGTAGGGCTTTCTGATCTCTCTATGTAATAATTCTGCCCCCACCCCAGCTCTTTTGATGTTTGTCTCTCTTGGTATAAATCTTTCTGTCGATTGAACGGAACACTTCATGTCTCTAATGAAATGGCCTTTGGCTCACAAACAGTATGTAGCAATAAACAAATTAAGTGTTTTGAGGTGCTGTAAGACTCTTGTTTTTTGGTAGAATTTCTGGTTTTTCATGTACTGCCACATAATCTGTTTTGGCCACAAGCAACTTGTGTTACTGTTTGTGTATTTTTTGCTTTCTGGCAAATGAGCTGCTATCCTTGGAGAATTGGTTTTTAATTTCCATATGCGAACAGTTTCTCATCCTTCCAAAAACTAGAGGGTTGGCCAAATATCAAGGAATTTCTTAAAAACCCAGCTGGGACTGCTGTCGTGCCTTTCACTGTAATTTTAAAAGAAATCTTGGACAGATATTGTGCCATAAGGTGATCCAATTTAATTGATTTATACCAGGTTGAAAATTTGGATTCTAGTATGACTTGCCTATCTAAAGCAGTATCGTGTGTATATTTGTGCCCTACCATTAAAGTTGGCCTGAAAAGCTCCTCGGACAACATCTGGCAAATTGTACATTTGAAGGAGTTTGTTATAATTGCATTGCCATTTAGGATCTTTTAGACTTATAGAGAAACAAATGCTTGAAAGATGATCTGTTGGGGCTCTCTTCAGTTTGTGCCAATAGTTAAAAAGGACTTTGTGTGCACGTGCCCAAAGAGAAGGGAGGCCCAATTTGGCTCTCAGCAATGGTAGTGCTAATAACCATTGAAGGTAGTGCTAGTAACCTTTTCAGAAGAAGGTTTTGGATTCTCTCCAAGTTTGCTATCAGGGCGTCATTTCATCCCCAAACCTCCACACCATAGAGGAGTTGGTTACCTTACTCTGAAAGAACTTTAAGGCCGAGTCTGGAACCCCCTTTGGAACGGTACAATTTAAGAATTGCCCCATTGACCGGAGGGCCATTGAGTTTATAATTTCTGTGTGTGCCTTCCAGGAGAATGCATCACTAAAAGTGATACCCAGATATTTAAAGGTTTGGAGTCACAGTTCTCTCAAGAGTAGTTCTCTCAGAGCTCTCTCAGCCCCACCTACCTCACAGTGTGTCTGTTGTGGGGAGAGGAAGGGAAGGAGATTGTAAGCTGCTCTGAGACGCCCAGTGAAGGGCAGGATATAAATCCAATCTTTCCTCCTCCTCCTCCGGAACCGGTTCATTACTGTGTAGGATAGGATGCTGGACTAGATGGTCTGACCCAGCAGGGCTCTTTTTATTTTTTTTAAATAGAGAACTCATTTTGTGTAGTATGTCTGGCAGCAGTGCTGCTGCTGCTCTAGTACAGAGTAAAAAAGAGCACTGGGTGCTCTGGTTGCCTTGCAAAACCGTGAAAGCAGAGTCATTGTTGCGACTGTGGTATTGTTGGGAAAAGTGGAACCAAAGAAATTTTTTAAGAAAGGAAATCTACTAGGTGACAATGTAAACTAAGATACAATGAGGGAATACACAGAAGGAGACCACAGGCTAAAACGGTTGTTGGAGAAGACTTCTTTGAAAGTCCTTCATTGTACTACAGCTACATCTGCTGGCAGGAGAAGAAAAGAGCCAATTTTTAGAAGTTTATTTAAATAGGAATATTCCATGTGTAGTTTTAATTTGCTTTTATGAGTCGTAACGTTAATCTTTAATGCCTTTTCTTTTCTTTTCAAATGTACTGTGTTATTGGGAAGGCTCTGGCACACTCAGTTCCTAAATTTAAATATAAATAAATAAATAAATACTCTAAGGCATGAAGGACATGTTGCATGCTACAGTATGTAACGGTGCCCTGGTGCCTGGTTTGAAACAGCTAAGCTGCTTCAGGAAAAAGACATTCAAAGTGGAGAAGCAGTAGGGGAGGGACAAGATACTTAATACTTCCCACCATACTGTACTTCTGTATAGGAAACAGCATGCTTGGAAACAACTCCCCTTGAAATAATGTGTCCTGTTCCTTTCTGACTGTTGTAATGAAACATAAGTCAGGCATTTGGTAGTTTTGTTGTTTCTGCACTGTATGGTTCCTGAATCGTGGTGGTTTTCACTACATTCAGCTTTATGGCAATTTAATCTTCCTCGCTGTATCAGAGTAGAAATATAACTAATAATATAATGCTGACATCTACTGCGTTATTTCTAGTCTTGTTGCATTTGCTTTAGTGCGAATGGTGATAGTCTGTGAGACTTCTTACCAGGAAAATGGGGAGATTCGTGCTGCCACTATGTGTTCCAATGCACCAGTGGACTCAGTTGAGTCCAGCACAAAAATTATGGAGCTAGTAGACGTCCATTCATCTGTAAAGAGCAAACTGCAAGTATATATAAGCCCCAATTTGGGTCTGCTTGGGGAGGTTTAACTGGTGCTCTGTTTAACTAATTGAAATTTTCTTACCCACTCTGTTGTTAGCATTTCAAAAGGGGAAAAAAAGGTCCTGCTAATAGCTGGTCTTTTTTTCTTTAAAGCACTAATAAAAGCAGAGATAGGGGGCAGTTTTAATTAGCAAAACTAAGCAGAGACTCAAGGGTTAATCCCTCTCCATGCAGTTCTGAATTGGGGTTGCACAGGGTTACAATTTACCTTTACAGATGAACAGAGATCCACCATGAGATATAGCAGCCCCCTCCCAAGCAGCAGTAAATCTTGCTAATTAGCAGGGCTATTTTTGGGCCGGAATGCCCAGGAACGGAGTTCCGACTGGCTCCTGAGATGGCCACGCCCAGCAGGAACTCATTAGCGTAATAGGCCACACCCAACAGCAGAAACTCATTAGGATTGGCTACATTAGGGGTGTGTGGCAGTGTTCCCTCTAAGCTGAGTTAGTGTGAGCCAGCTCACAGTTTTTTAGCCTCCGGCTCACACATTTTTGTCTTCACTCAGGAAGGATGGCTCCAGAGCAAACTGATTTATGCTGTAGCCAAATTGCTCGCTCACAACTTTAATGCCAGGAGCTCACAAAGTCGAATTTTTGCTCACAAGACTGCACAGCTTAGAGGGAACATTGGTGTGTGGCCTAACATGGAAAGAAGTTCCTGCTACAAAAAAAGCTCTGGGTTTTGACAACAAACAAGATAAACAGAATAAGAATC